AATGAAAATGTTTCATGCTAAATGGTACTGCAGAAACGGGTCTCTTTCAGGTTGTTGTCCTCCGTCCTCCAGACTTAAAAGTGAGAGGGGGGGAAGAAACAGCTCCGCCATAAATCTTTCCTGTCTCCGGCACCAAGTTTAAATTACTCAGTTGATTTATACAGACATATTTTAATCCATATATATCCATCCATGCCTCATTATTCTGGGGGGGGGTGTCTGGAGCCTATTTCAGAGAGCTCAGGGCAGGACTGTAGTATACACCCTGTGGGGGGCGCTATTCCACAACAGGGCAGCAACACACACATACAGTCACACTCTCAGCAATTTCGAAACACCAGTTAAGCCGACTGCCTTGGACTGCAGGAGGTAACTGAAGTCCTTGGAGTAAACCTGCATCACACGAGTCGAACCCCAAACCCTGGAGGTGTGACACAACAGTGTTGCGAAATGCTGTGCTTACACACACGCACGTACACAGACAGACACACGCACACATACACGCACACACACAGACACACGCACACATACACGCACACACACAGACGTACACGCACACATACACACACACAGACACACATATATATAAAACAGAGTAATGAATGTTCACATGCTGCTTTTTAAATAGAACGGCCGTGACTGGGATCTCAAGCCCGTGTTTCAGCTTGTTTAATTGCCCATCGCCTGTTGTTTTCCGTCCCGGTTTGCTCCTGCCTCGGTCTCTCTCCTCTTTGTCGCGGAGCCTCCCTCGGAAGCATGGGGCGCCAAGCCTCGCTCCAGATGGGATAAACGCAAAGCCGCCAAGATTCAAGCTCCGCGCCGCTCTTTCATTTATTTGCATTAGGCCTCGCCAGACAAGAGCAAGGAATTTAAAGTCTTACGGCCTTGAACAGAGACGTCGCGGGTTTGTCTTTTAATGTCCGAGCGCGGCATTCTCGAGATGCCAACCAGTGGCGGGTGTGCAGCGTAATCCGTGACTTGAGTGAGGCTGCATATAATCTCCAGAGTACACATCTACGCCCCCCTTCCATCCATCCCTTTATCCATTATATGCACCTGCTAGTTTGACCAGTTCAAGGTTTGAGAGTTGGGGCCTCGAAATAGAGCAGCAGTGGGTCGACTTTCTTCGTGATCTCAACATGGCCAAAGTTGTTTTCTGGAGATCACAAAATAATAGAGATCCATATTTTTTCAGTTCCGATCTGACTC